CGTTCCGGTTAACGATGTACCCTAGGAATTTACCCGAGGTAACACTGAAGACACACTTGTTTGGATTCAACTTCATATTAAACTTACACAAAATTTCAAAAACAGAATGCAAATCCTGATTTAATTCATGCAAAAATTAGGTTTTGATGACCATGTCATCTACATAACATTATACTTTTCTGCCAATTAATGGCTCAAACAATTTATTTACAAGCCTTTGAAAGGTTTCCCCTGCGTTTTTCAATCCAAAGGGCATAACCTTGTAAATAGACCGAACTCTGTGATGAAGGCAGTCTTTTCTTCGTCTGTCGGGTCCATCTTAATTTGGTTATATCCCGAATAGGCGTCTAAGAAACTCAGCAACTCGTGCCCTGAGGTCGCATCCACCAAGCAGTCAATTCTGGGGTGCGGGAAGCAGTCTTTTGGGCAGGCTCAGTTTAGGTCGATGTAGTYGACGCACATGCACCACTTGCTGTTAGCCTTCTTCACCAGAACGGGCTTGGCTACCCAGCTCGGGTAATGGACTTCTCTTATGAAGTCAGCTGCGAGGAGCTTCGCGACCTCCTCGCCGACTGCTTTCCACCGCTCTGGGGATAGGTTGCGTTTCTTCTGTCTAGCGGGCCTAAATACAGGACCAGTATTGAGCTTGTGAGTTATAAGGTCAGGGTCTATACCGGGCATCTCTGTCGCGGACCACGCAAAAATATCTAAATTATGAAGTAAGAAACTTACCAGTTCAGATCGTAGGGGTTCCTGGACGGAAGCGCCGATCTGAAGCGTCCGAGCTGGGTCTGCTGCTGAAGTCGGAACATCGACTGTTTCTTTCGTGGGTGTAGCTCATTCCTGGCCTTGCTCCGTAGGCCGCTCCAGTTCGAGGTCGTCGGCCACCTTGGTCTTTCCCTTTAGGGCGGCGACATAGCACTTGCGGGACTCAAGTTGGTCGCCCTACACTACCCCCACACCGAAGTCTGTAGGGAACTTCATTGCCAAATGATAAGTGGAGACCACCGCCGTAGAACATGGGTGATCGGCCGACCTATTATGGCATTGTATGGGGAGGGGGTCGCAACCACCAGGAAGTCATGGTTGAGTCTGACTACGTAGGGCCTTGTGCCGACTTCCATAGGTACTGTCACTTTCCCAAGAGGCCTGACCTCTTCTCCGCTGAAGCCCACCAAAGAAGTGTTCGCAGGCCTCAAGTCACTTCCCTGCAACTAAAGCTGGTCGAACGCAACTTTGAAGAGAATATCTGCCGAGCTACCTGAATCAACGAGGACGCGTCTGACCTCGAAGTCATTGATCCTTAGCTTTATCACAAGCGCGTCGTCGTGGGGGTAGTGGACCCCTCGCRCATCGTCCTCCGTGAAGAAAATTGGTTCTTCTGTCTTCGGCTGCTTCGTCGGATTTTGCTCTTCCCGGACAACTTCACGAACTGACGTCCGAGCTGCTACTGAAGTACAACCTGTGACGATCAATCCTCCCACTATCACGTGGATGGTGCCCCGAACCGGCCTCTCTTCCGGAGGCTGCCTCTGTGACTGTTCGGTCGGCCTGCTGCTGGACTCGGGAGCATCCTTGCCGTGCTTCCCTTGTCAACCTGTCTTATTATTATTATTATTATTTTGTACGAAGTTCCTTAATTATCTGCGACGGATGAGCTCCTCTATCTCATCGCAGAGGCTTTTACAATTTTCGGTACTATGACCGTGATCCTGTGAAAACTACAGTACAAGTTCTTATTTCTTTCATTGGAATTCCCCATCAAGTGGGGTGGCCACTTCACATACGAAGCGTCCTTGATTACCATCAGGATTTCGGCCCGCTTTGCGTTCAGCGGGGTGTAATCAGTTCGGCCCGCTACAGGGACTCGAAACGATTGACCCGACTTTGCCCCCCAAGCTGCATCCTTTTTCTTTCGGCTGTCCCCTTGGCTGGAAAGCTCTCCTTCACTTTTCCTCTTCTCGGGCGTGCCCTTGCCCTTCTGGTTGATCTCTTCCTCCGTGGCTATAAACCTGTCCGCGAGCTTAAGGAATTCGGTTATGGTCGCCACTTGGTTGACAACCATGTGCCATTTGAACTCTTTATGCGTCACGCCCTTCTTGGCTGCTGCGAGGCGCACAGCGGGGTCCAGGCGCGGTATCTGCATGCATGCATCGTTGAACCACTTGATATAGCCCCGAATGGACTCTCCCTCTTTCTGGACTATGTTGAGAAGGCTTTCCTCAGTTCGCGGGCACCGTTTGCTGGTAACGAAGTGGGACGTGAAGGCTTGCGCGAACTGCGCCCAACTTCTTATCGATCCGGGTGCCAGGTTTCGGTACCATGTGTGGGCCACTCCTCTAAAAGTGGTGGAGAAGGCCATGCACATGCACGACTCACCGGCCCTCGTTAGGTGCATCTACAACTGGAAGGCGTCTACGTGATCATTTGGGTCAAACGACCCGTCATACTTGTCGAGAGGGGGGAGCTTGAAGTCCTTAGGCATTGGAACTGCCAGGAGCTCGGGAGACAGGGGGGATGGAGTTGAAAGGAGGGGAGCCTTGACTTCACCTGAGCTTACCTCTTCTCTACCTTCGAGCTTGGGCAGGTTGTGGGTAGCAGATCGGCGAGCTTGGCGGTGGCGTCTCTGCGTCTTGGCGGGCTCCGCATTTGTGCTGTTCACTTTCATGCTATCAGGAATGGTTTGTGCAAAAAGTAGCTCGGGCCGTTGATGATGGCTGCGGACAAAGGGATCCTACTTGGAGTCAGCAGCCAGGATCTCGAATCGGTTCTCCAGGAGAGGGGTTTCAAACTTCGACTACCGAGGTGATGTAGACCTGGCAAGCTGGGGTCCTCCCGACCTGACCGCTCACGGCGAGACCGGGGTAGCCGGTCTCTCTTGTCTACCGCGGGAGGAGGCCTGACTCTTAAGAGGGTTTTGGGAGGCTTCTTCTTGGCGAGAAGGGCGTTCATCCTGGCGGCAAGACCTAGCTCAGTGTGAGGCTGGGTGCCGAGGACGAAGCTGCGACTGCTGAAGCTGAGGTTGAGGTAGCTGGGGGAATTGCTGCTGGTAGTGGTACTGGGAGACGTGGTGCAACACTTGCTGCTGGTAAAGCTGGTGTTGCTAGAGCTGTTGCACTTGGGCTTGCATGGCCCGCATGTACTGCATCAGATCGTCGAGCTGGTTCTGGCTGGTCACCAGAGGGATGACAGTCGGTTCAGCAACGATTGTTTCAACAGAGGAGGGAAGGGGAACACCCACAGGCGCCGCTACTCGCGGCACGTTCAGACTAGGGACTCCGTCCACCGAGAGGGGAATGGTGAACTGCCCAATGTAGACCGTGGGAACCTGGGGTTGCTCCCTGGCGTTATCCTTCTCCATGCTACATCCRACATTTCTTGAAGAAGCCATGAGTTCTGAGTTTTCAGAGAAGAAAGAAATGTGAAGGTTTAGAGGAAGGCTTTTAGAAGCGCTTCTCACAGACGGCGCCAAATGATGCGGCACGATCCGGGCACTCCTAGCTGGCTGCTGACTGGCTCCTTGTTGGCAAGAAAGGCGGCACCTGGGAAGATGGAAAGGAAGGATTCCCGGGGATTTTACCCAGTGGGAATACTCCGATGCTTAAGTTTAGAACGCAAGAAAGAAGGAAAAGAAGAGTCGATAGCTAAGAGTGTAGGTCGCGCTTTATCACTATACTTGAGAGATTAGAGGTCTCAAGAAGAAGTTTCTCTTCTGCCCTGAGGGCTTTTATAGGGGCGCTCTTGTCAGATCGGGTATAACCACCATTGGGCCCCTGCCACAGCCGTTACCTGCCAGGGCTGCGCAGGTGGCCGTTGTGGCGTACTTCTCGCCCGTGTGAGCGACACGTCTCCAAAATGATGGGCATGCCTCCGCCTGCTGAGAGACATGGGTGCAGACTGTCAAAAGGACAGAGATTGCGCCATCAGCAAGGGACGTGGCGCAGTCTGATAGGTGCGGCCTGTCAGATAGAAGCTTTCTGAGGAATGCTCGTGCGGCCCATTCGCGAGCTACTTTGCAGCGAGCTCAGAATACTTCAGGAGTACCCTTAGTAGAATTGGTCCTCGGGATGACTTGTCTGCTTGGGAGCTCAGGGGAGCTGGTTTTCTTAGCTCACGAGCTAAAGTTGCCTCGGAATATCCCTTTAGAGGTAGCTCAGGGAACCCGGAGCTCGTGTTGTGGTGAACTCCTCCTTTTTCGCGCTACGATGTAGTGAGCTGCCTTATGGGCCCGTTATTTGATTGTACTGAGCCACAATGCTGAACTGTCGCTTATGCTGAGTCAGTGCCCACATATCGCCGTTTCGTAGGTCAGACCAAATCGTCCTCCATTAGCTTGAATCCACCCCTATTTAAGCCATTTACTCTTTCTCAACCTTTTCATGATTTTATACCAAATGCAATGTAGTGAGCTGCCTTATGGGCCCGTTACTTGATTGTACTGAGCCACAATGCTGAACTGTCGCTTATGCTGAGTCAGAGTCCACGTATCGCCGTTTCGTAGGTCAGACCAAATCGTCCTCCATTAGCTTGAATCCACCCATTTTTAAACCATTTACTCTTTCTCAACCTTTTCATGATTTTATCCCAAATGAGATGAAGTGAACTACCTTATGGGCCCGTTACTTGATTGTACTGAGCCACAATGCTGAACTATCGCTTATGCTGAATCAGTGCACGTGTCGCAGTTTCATAGGTCAAACCAAATCGTCCTCCATTAGCTTGAATCCACCCCTTTTTAAACCATTTACTCTTTCTCAACCTTTTCATGATTTTATCCCAAATGCGATGAAGTGAACTACCTTATGGGCCCGTTACTTGATTGTACTGAGCCACAATGCTGAACTATCGCTTATACTGAATCAGTGCACGTGTCGCAGTTTCATAGGTCAGACCAAATCGTCCTCCATTAGCTTGAATCCACCCCTTTTTAAACCATTTACTCTTTCTCAACCTTTTCATGATTTTATCCCAAATGCGATAAAATAAATAAAGCTCTGTTTATGAATCGGAGTTGGAGGTGGGGGGTTGGGTTAGAAAAGAAGGGCAAAGGAATAAGAAAAGAAACCTCTCGAACGGGCGAAAGCCAGAGCCAGGGGGATTTGGTAGCATGGCTGCAAGAGAAGAAGTGCATGACGAGTATACCCAGGATGGGACCGTTGATCTCAAAGGAAAACCTGTCCTTAGATCCAACACAGGTGGTTGGAAAGCTTGTTCCTTTATTATTGGTACATCTCTCCCTCTCTCTCCTATCATCTCTATCTCTTCTTATCTTTTATTTTGCTGGAATACCCAAATTTTAACAAGCCTACAGTATTTTCGATGAAGAGGAAGAAGATGGAAGTTTCGTTAGATTTCCAAGAGAGGTGCCCTACTGTAGAGTAGCACTCTTTCTACGTGAGGTCGGTTTCGATCAGCGTGAGATGTTTTCAACGCAAAATTAGAATGATTGTTTGAGAGGACTTTGCACTGATTAAATCCGGTTTTTGCATCGGGATATCTCTAAATTTATATTTATTTTTCATGAAGAGATATTTCTGATGACCTAATGTAAGATTGTAAGAGGGTGTTCAACGGTGTGAGCACGGGCTTGCATTGACCGAAACCTTCGAACTCACAAAAATTGTTGAAACTGAAAATCTTTTGTCGGTTCGAAGCTTTCTCTCTCTCCATCCTTTCTTCTACGAAGCTGTCTCYTTATCTGTTTTTTTATTACACATTTCTATACACAAAAGAAAGAGTCCTCCGTGTTCTACAGTTTCTGCAAAGAAGATGAAGAAGTTTTTGTTTCTGCAACTCCACATAATATTATTAAAACTTAAAAGTCAAACTAGGTCTGACCGACTGACCAGACCTCCACTGATGAATGTTTATTAGGTTCACCGATTAGTGTCCACTGAAACAGAGTAAGCGTTTCAATAATTGATGCCTTTGACTTGCAGTCCAAACTCCAAAGTGCGTTCTTCTATTAGCCATTCGTCAGGTTAATTATCCTATCGCCATTTATTTCAGCCTCTCTCTTTCTCTCTCTGTGTCAATTCATGCACCTCACCTTACCGGCCAATCCGGCTTGTCCACCTCTTTGACCTAGCAGAACTCATTTGACGGGAATTGGATYACACGGTCGACAGGCTCAAAGGATTGGACCACACGGCCCATGGGCCATGACACCTGATTTTATCAAATGACAATGACCCACCAACTTGTCCTCTACTCTGTATTGTTACTTGTTAGAAACTTGGGATTTAGGAAGGAGACTGCCCATTCGGTTCAGCTGATGTGCAGTGAGATTATTTGGAGTTTAAACCATGGTTAATTTCTATGTTCCAACCATCATTCACCTAGCCGGACAGCTGACACGTCCCCAGTTGTCGACGGTTTRACCATTTTAGTGATGAATGATCCGGTTGAACCGTTCAACCTGCCACCAAAGCATGTCTCCGGCGACTGGGTCAGCATTTAGAGCAGAACTTAATCACTTCTCACCAGTCCACTCACCAGCGACCTGTTTGCATTTATCATTTATCAAAAGAAGTAATTACAGTGTCGAATATGTTGTTGGTGTGTGTGTGTGGATGCAGTTTATGAAGTGTTTGAACGTATGGCTTATCTGGGGATAGCATCGAATCTGGTGATTTACTTGACAAGGAAACTGCATCAGGGCACAGTGAAATCGGCCAACAATGTCACCAACTGGGCTGGAACCTCTTGGGTAACGCCCATCTTGGGTGCATATGTGGCCGACACATATCTCGGCCGATACTGGACCTTCCTCTTCGGATCTGCCATCTATGTTCTGGTAATTTCTTCTTGCCCAAATCTCTTTAACTATCCTTACATTTTACTAAGTTAATTTACTCTATCCCTTTTCTTTATAATTAAATTGTTTAACAAAACACATTCCAACCCTCTACCAATTTTACATCATGAGACTGGGACCCGCCATATATGAGATGTGCGGTATAAGATCATGTTGGTAGAGCGTTGCAACGTATTTTGTTGGCAGGTGATCCTGACTCGGTTAAATCTTTCCCTCCATCACAATCTGTTCACATGCAACACCTCATGACATATAGAATTTTTTACATCCCAGTATTACCCATATTATGGTTGACTTTTGCTTCCATTATTCATCAAATTTTCAAAATAACAATCAATAGATCCAGATTTTCTACAACGCCTTACCTGTATATTGTCTCCAATAGCTACTACACCTTTCTTTCCATGTTCCAGTGAAACCATCAAACGTCTGAGCGGCAAAACTGAATCTCTAGTTCTCCGGCTCGACACCAAAAGAGGAGTTCTTGAACAAACACAACTGGTTGTTGAGAATCCATGAACATGATAAAAAACTAAATAAACACTCAAGCAAATCGTAAGCAAAGTATACTTGGATTGTTCAATTGTTTCATTTTGGAAATTCAAAAAAGAATGATGGATAAAATAGTATTTTTCATCTTTCCATTCACAGATGCTAATGCTGCAAGAGGATTTAGTCAATTGTCATAAATTGAACTTAGTGATACTTTTAAGGCAATTTCTGAACAATAGATGTAGAGAAAACCAATTTTGAAAATCTTAGGGGTACTTTTAAGAGATCTGCCCTTTGTTGTTTGTTACTTCATCTTCATCACCATCATATTTCACGTTCACATAAAGGTGTGGGGTGATCATTAGTCGGGTCAGGCTTTAATATTTACAATTATATGACATATAATCATAACCAGGGCCTTGACTAGGCTGGGCCAGGCTTAGCACCTACGATTATATAAGACAATCATAAGCTAGGGTACAGGCTGGGCCAGGCCAATCCAGGCTTTAGGCCTAAATCATTAAATACATTAGATTTAGGGTAAATTGCTAAAACCTCCCCTGAAGTTTTTGACCATTGTTAAAATCTCCCCTAAAGTTTGATAATTGCAATCACTTCCCTTGAACTTTCGAACATAGTTGCAAGAATTATCGAATAAGAGATATGAAAATGCCCAAAATATCTACACAGTTACTTTTGACCAAAATGTTTATTTTCTGAATTTTCTCTTCATACCAATCACTACCCCAAACCATTTCAATATTTTTCCAAAATTTATTTATTTTCCAAGTTTACCCTTCATATCAATCACTCATAGGTAAAGTTGCAACTTTAAACTCTCCTTCATTGTTATTCATAAAGTTTGTATTGTTTTTTCTATAAAAATCAGGCTCAATAGTAACTACATAGTTATTTTGGACATTTTTGCACCTCTTGATAGAGGATTCTAACAAAGGGGGTCTACTTGTAACTATGTCATAAAATTTAGGGGAGGTTTTAACAATTTACTCTTAGATTTCATATATGGGTAAATTGTGATGACTAAAGGTATGATATACATACACATACATACACAGTATACATATATGTTATATAAATATATTGTAGCTAGGCATGTAGTATTGGGCCCAAACCTGACCTAGAAATTTGTGAGCTAGATAGGGTCAGATGATCATTTTCAGCCCAACCTGGCACACATTATTTTATGTTATATTTTATTTTTTATATGTAAACTAGTGTAAGGGCATGTGCCATGCAACATATGCAAATAAAGGATAAAAATATAAGTTGAGGTTATACAATCAGTTTTAACTTTTATGACTTGCATCAAAACCAAGGCAAGTATGAACTATGAAGTATCTGCTTTATAATAGTATAKATATTGTTATATGACACCAATAATAGGTATCATATATTATGTTTTATATTATATCTATACTATTATAAAGGTGGATATATATGTATATATCTATGTATGTATGTAT